TCCCTAGCAAGCGCAACACGCGCATACACTGATGATTGCAGTGCACTGGGTTCAGGCGTTTCCTTTACGATATTTCATTGATCTCCGGCGACGGAAAATTCGGCTGGGCGACGCATTAAAGCCTCAAGGCCCACCTTCGATATTACTGGGAAAAAAAATCACTACATAAGCAATTAAGTCGCTATACCGTCGCGACTACAAATAGGAATACTTTGGCGGCCATGTTGTAATCGTTTAGCTCAATTGGGCGATGCATGCAACAATATTAAACCCTTTCATATTTAACATCGCGGCTATGAACGGAACAAAGCGTGCTGCAATAATCGCACATCCCACCCAACGATCCAAACGCGTCCGATGAAGATGTACATATGCATCCAGAATGGAGCTTTAGTGGAGATGCTCAAAATTCCCCGGTGCAAAATCTAATAGAGTTAATAGGGTACGGAACAAGGCGCGGGTGAAATGTTATTTTCGTTTAACAAAAAATCGGTGTTAATAATTAAAGATGCGGTGATCACAGAATTAGATATTTGGATGGTGCGTATCAGTGTAAGGATGCTGGCTAACTATCCGCAGCCGATCACAACTCCTGGGCGACATGTATCAAAGGTAGTCTGCATGCATGCTAATGTAGGGGGCTCATTTCGCGAATTACGCCATATAACCCGATTTGATCGATAAATCGATCCATCGCACATGGAACGGCGCGCGCGTGTGAGCCGCTATTAAAAACGGTAATATATGCGCGATGTGGCTACATTTGTGATTGCGTGGGGAAAAGCCATCGGAAAATGTATGAAAACCGTACTTATGCCCATAAATGCTCAGCCGTGAGCGAGCAGCAGTGAGATGTCAGCTGCTGACGCCCGGTTGCGGTGAGGAGACGGAGGAGATGGGAGGAGATGAAGGATAAAGCATCAGGAATACAGACTTACACTTCGTAGTTCCTGCGTGCGATCCTTCATTTTTCCCCGCCGTGCTGGCCAAAAATATCGCTTGAGATGTCCGCTGCGTTCGTGGATTTATTATTAGCGAATGTCTGGCTCCTGTTTAATTTCCCACAGATTTAGGTGATTTCAGGGGGGAAAAAGGCGCCCTGATCTTCCCCCTCTGCACTATTTCACGCCTTTTTGCCTTTTTGCCTTTTCCCTGTTCCTGCTGTTAAACAATGTTGATATTTGAAAGCACCAAAACAAACACGCCCATACCCTAACGGGAACTCGCCCCTATTTTGATATCTCCACCCCACACGTACGTACACAACCCTGACATAACGACGATCGCGGTAACAAGCGAAGATGACACACAAGCATATTCAAACAAAAGCCATGTGATATGTAAAGATTAATGCTCTTTAGAAAGCATCAGTACAAATATTGTTATACGTATTTTAAATTGTTACATAAAAAAAAAATGAAAGCCACAGGATCAGGACAAGGAACATGCATTATAAAAATTCAATAGGGTCAATTTTGAATTCATGCTGACTTTAAAGCATGCAAAATATATGTTTGGATGTTCAAAGCTTACAGATAGACTAGTTTAACGGTTGAGGTCCCGGTTGAGCGGGAATGTAGCATTGGCAGTGTGGTTATCTGTTGGTCTTGGTTTGAACTACTTGAAACATCTCCCAGAGGGAAGCTTCTGGAGCAAATGATCTGGGTGCGAGGGATCTTTAATGCATCTTTGTGCCCCAGTTCCCTGTCTTGACCCCGCAGAGCTCAGAAATGTAAACAGCGGGAACTGGTTTAAAGGATATATGGTCAAGAGTAAAACACCTTGTTGTAATCCCATTATCAAATGGCTCCAAATCAGACAAAGACATCCCATTTTAAGAGAAATATATACACAAAACACTTTTGTCCATGTGCAATTAAATAAATTTGACATATATATATATATATATTCAAATGCTTCTGTAAAAAGAGATTCTCGCAACATGCATAAAATATCGTTATATGCCATTGCACAGTAACAGTTTTAATGGCTTTAAATATGTTCATCAGTCATCTGTGCTTATTCAGTTGGTGGTTCAACAATAGCACATTATTGACCACAAGGCTTTTAAACACCAATACACATGTGCATAGTAGTTATCAGTTCAGACTTTTTTTTGGAGGTTTGGGCCTAGATTATTGAACACAGCGGAAGGCCTTCAGGAGATACTGACTGTGTAAAGCATATGCTGTTCTACAGGGGGCGCCATTTGGCTCAGAAAACCTGCAATCACAGGACATTTTTGGCTTGCCAGAAATATTTATCTATTTATTCTGTATCAAATCTATATCAACGTGGCAGGCTGTGTAATGTATTAAATCTATAGACATAAAGAATTGTTACATTTAGTTTACTTATACTTAACCACCAGGTGACAGGTAGCACTTTCTACTTGATAGTGACTCATTTTAATTAAAACCATCAATGAACGAACATATGTAATCTAATCAAATGTGTTTTTAATTTTTCCAAAAAAACTCTACTTTCATGATTCCTCAGAATCTGTTATCTTTTCGCTGCTATTTTTCTAATATTAGTTTATTTGTTATTATTGCTCACAAATCTAAGACCTAATTTCATTGCGTGAAATAAGCAGCCACCAACCTAAAGTCTGACTGAAGTGAGCACTAGACAGAACAATATAAATCTTTTTTTTTTAAAAGAAAGCTTTATTGCATCTGAAAGCATTTTTTGTTTGTTTAATCAGAAATTGTATACGTATGAAATTATAAAACAAATGAAGAATACTTTCTGAGTACAGATAAAATTATTTTAAAAATTACAAAAAAAAGTCAAATACAATTTTAGGTGTTTATTGAAATAAGTTTTGTACATTTATCTAGAAATAAGTCAATGATATTTGATTTATAGTAACTGTTTTCAATGTGTATCTTTGCAAAAATCTCAAATAGCTTATATTAGAAGGCCCTTCATCAGTATTTTACATTATCTTTACATTCAATAATGGAATACAGAAAAGGGACATTTCTTCCAAAATCCTTAGTTTTTTTTTAAATGAAATGGGCCGTTCTCCAAAGGGCTGGTAATATTTTAGAGTACCGTCACCACCCGACGTAGGAGCGTATTTCTCAGAGAAAGACCCTGTAAGATTTGGGCCACACGTTGCAGTATAGTAGATCAAAAGAGAGCCGTGGTTTAATTTAAACGACGACTGTAGATTGGTTCCTTTGTGTGGGACAAGAGAACCCTTTCCTAATAGACCATCATCATACCGGTTGTCACGGTCCCACACCTCAAATCGCAAGTGCCTGTAAGACAAGCATAGACATGATATGAAGTACAAACAACAGATATTTTTTTTTATTTAAAGTTTCAAAAAGTCCATTTAATGACAGAAACCGAAACTAAGATTAAGTTTTGTGAACATAACCACTTACGTTCTTTGAGTCAGATCCACAGTTTGAAAATGTATTTTGTAGTTCCACTGAGAAAAGTCATTCATAATCACAGGGGTCTCATACGCTTTTTTTCCGTAGAACACTTTCACATTACAAATTGGTTTTATTGAAATAGTCTCCCCATAATCCCTTAGCACTCAACACGGTCACGATCAACGTGGCAACTCCTGCCTTACTCTGGCAGCAGTTGTTATCAACACTTTGATGACCGTTGCATTTGCATGCACAGTTATTGGCATGATGGCCCACTTTGCAGCTGGAAGGGCAAGCAGTAGATATGGCACTTTTTGTGATGTACTTGCTGATGGCCGCTTGAAGACTGGCCCGTCTAGCTGGGTCGTTTTTCACCAGCATATGTAATGAGCTCAAGGTGTTGGAAACCACTCCAGGAATTTTCTTCAATGACTTGAGCCACACGTCATAACCACTAACGTTGCTTGTAGTGAAGAGGATGTCTTGCTGCTCACCGTTGCCGAACAGTATTTCAGTGACTCGGTTGGAGAAGGAGCTGCTGAACCTGTTGCCCCTCTCCAGTTTATTTTGTTTTGCTTTTGCAGTAGCTTGCCTGCCCACTCACCTCCACACTCTTAATGACGACAGACGCCTCCATGTACATCATGTACCGACAGACCCTTCATGGAAACCTGGCAGGTCTTCACAGCAGTGGTTGAACATTCGTAGCCACCCAGGTCGACTCTCCGCAAGAAGTGTGTCCCGTAGATCAAGATGAATTGGTTGTACGCGCTTTCTGACCGGCTGTCGTATTTAGCAAATTCTTTGGTCATTGGAGGTTCAGCCTGAAGACGAAACCTGTGAAAGAAAGACTTTATTGGGTTTTTATGCTTCAGTGTCAGTCTAAACCCCAGACTAATGTAATCCTGAGATATCTGGTAACGCATTTCACTTTGTTGGACGCCTGCTTCTGCCGTAGAATAAAAAAAAAAACACAGGTAATTGTGACTTTATATGGATTTATAGACAGATTAGACGACATACTGCTTTTTTGGCAGATCAAATCAAGGCTGTGAGGGATAGATTTACAGTTCCCTTTCGAACGTACTCTCACGTTGAGTACGGGTTATCTCCTTTTTTTTCCCTGATCTGAAGCTTGATTTGTTCACGTTTGTGTAGCTGCACAAACCAAACCAATGCACAAACCAATGGACCCCTTGCACGAGACAGACGGGCACAGCGAGTGCGTTGCCTGCCTTGGCAGTGCCCACGCAGAGGCTGCACTCACTGGAAGATCATGCTCTCATTGCGAGAGTATTTCTCTCTCCTGTCTCCGCTCGCAAATTGCCTTCTTTAATGAAGGCGGACCTCCTCGCTTCACTCCCCCGTTTCCTTTCTCTCACAAGAGAAAGAAACAGTGGAGTAGTGGGTCCAATTCCGTGGGATCAGGTGGTGTTATGTCGGCTCAGCACCCGCGTGCCCTGCTCTCCTTGCGTCTCCTCGCCTCGCCGGTGTGCTTTGCACACGAAGGTGTCGAAGACGTCACCGCTGACGACTCCATGTCCTTAGCGGCATCAGATGCAGAAGAGTGGTGAGGTTCTGGCGGAGAGCCCGAAGCCCTTTCCCCCTTCTCATCCAGTGAGGCCTGAAACCAGACGCTGAACTCATCCGCGTCCTGTCTAAGGCTGTGGAGGACCTGGGCCTCAAGTGGTCGGATCCGAAAGAGCCTACCCACGACCTACTGGACGTGTTGTTCCTGCCGGGACGCCGTCAGCAGTCCTCTTGCCAAAGACCTGTCCCATTCTTGCCTGCGGTTGACCTGACCAGCCTGTTCAGACAGTTTCAGAGCAGCTTTTTGTTGGCTTTGGAGGCCGGCGGCCGCCTCAAAGGGCTGCCAGTCACAAAGCAGAGGCTTTCTCGCTGGCTTGGCTTATGCCTCGGCAGGCTTACAGTGCCCTATAGGTGTGAGGGCCCACTCCACATGAGAGATGGCCTCCTCCTGGGCGTGGTCCAGTGAGGTTTCTATTGGTGAGATTTGTGCGGCCGCCGGCTGGTCGTCACCATCCACCTTTGCTAGATTTTATAGCTTGGACATCCCGGCCTTACAGGTCTTTCTGTTTAATCGCCTATTTCCCCCTGTAGGTGGAAATGGTTATGTCGATAGCCCTCAGCTGTGCTTGGGGCCTAATTGGCTCACATCACTATCTCAGCTCCCTGAGATAAGGGAACCGAGGTTACGTCAGTAACTGGAGCGTTTTTACAGTGGCATGCACTGTATAAAGCTCTACACTCTCCGAAAAAAGGCACAAAAGCTGTCACTGAGATGGAATACCTTTTTTAGAGACATACCTTTGTACCTAAATGGTCCATATTTTTACCTCAAAGGTACATATTGGTACCTACAGTGAACATATTAGTACCTAAAAGGTACAAAAGTGCAAATTTTGAAAAGGTACTGCCACAGTGACAGCTTTTGTACCTTTTTTTCTGTGTAAATCATATAATTTTTACTGCTGTTTCAAAAAGTTTTTTCCCACATGTTGTTAAACAACAGTACAATCCATTACACACTACACTTCTATCACAGCCTTGTTTTCATTCCTGACAAAAATGTTATATTGTGCTACACTTGCTAAGGTCTAGATCTTGAAATATGCAGCTTTATCTCTAATAATTGTGAAATAAAATCTCATAATTGCGACTTTATATATCTAACAATTGCAACTTTTTTTATCTTTTATAATTAATCCTGTGTAGTCATGTTTTTAAATTTCACAGTGCACATT